ACTAGAAAATTAAAACATATGCCTTCTATGTTCTCAAGTGAGTTTAAAATCTTATTCATTAGTTCCAGAGGACTTAAAGACCTTATTGAAAACTGTATGAGAGAATGGAGTTTTGATGGCATTTCTTTTTATTTATTTTTTTTATTTTTTTTTTTCAACGTTTTTTTTATTTATTTTTTTTGGGGACAGAGAGAGACAGAGCATGAACGGGGGAGGGGCAGAGAGAGAGGGAGACACAGAATCGGAAACAGGCTCCAGGCTCTGAGCCATCAGCCCAGAGCCCGACGCGGGGCTCGAACTCACGGACCGCGAGATCGTGACCTGGCTGAAGTCGGACGCTTAACCGACTGCGCCACCCAGGCGCCCAGATGGCATTTCTTTTTAAATACTCATGAAGTAATGGTGCCATTCTTTTTTTGAAAAAACAGCTTTTTTTTGAAAATTAATTGACAATTCAGCCATGTAAGATATCTAATTCAATGGTTTTTAGTATATTCACAGAACTGTGCATCTATCACAACTTAAGAATATTTTCATTTTCTCAAAAAGAAACACTGCATCCTTAAGCCTCTAACCCCATTTCCTCCCAACTGCCCCAGATCTAGGCAACCACTAATCTACTTTTTGTCTATACAGATTGGTCTCTTCTGGACATTTTATATTAATGAAATCATACAATATGTGGTATTCTGTGACTTGTTTCTTTAACTTAGCATAATGTTTTCAAGGTTTATCCATGCTGTAGCCTACGTCACTATTTCATTCTTTTTTAATGCCAAAATATTCTATTGTATGGATATAATACATTTTATACATTTATCAGTTGATGGACATTTGGGCTTTTTCCATTTTTTTGGCTATTATGAAAAATGGTGCCATTCTACTATTGTGTTTGTGTTATTTTTTAAAGTTTTTTATTTATTTATTTATTTATTTATTTATTTATTTATTTTTAAGTTTTATTTTGAGAGAGAGAGAGATAGCGTGAGCAGGGGAGGGGCAGAGAGAGAGAGGGAGAGAAACCCAAGCAGGCTCCTCAGTGTCAGCCCAGAGCCCAGCTCAGAGCCCAGTGCAGGGCTCAAACTCATGAACTGTGAGATCATGACCTGAGCAGAAATCAAGAGTCTGATGCTTAACTGACTGAGCTACCCAGGCACTCCTATTTATTTATTTTGAGAGGGAGAGAGAGAGAGCGCGCGCGCACTGAGGGTGAGTGGGGGAGGGGCAGAGAGAAGGGAGAGAGAATTCCAAGCAGGCTCCGCCACTGTCAGCACAGAGCCTGATTTGGGGCTCCACCTGAGCTGAAATCAAGAGTCAGATGCTCAACTGACTCAGCCACCCAGGTGCCTCTGTGTTATTTTTATTGTACTAGCCTATGGATGTGATTAGCTTTATAAATATGTGCCACCAAGGAACCCGGTTTGCAGTGAGTCTATCAGTTCCCATAGTAGGTCAAGACAGATGTAAATGTGGGTACTTTTGGTATACAGGTAGTATTATATATGTGCAATCTGTGGGGGAAGCCTCAATTACAAAATTCAGGGAAGAATCTTTCTCCAGTGATTCCTAAATGGGATCATGGTCCATTCCAAACATTTAACTTTTGATTGGAAGAGAGCAGAGCAAATAACTTAGACCCTAGTCAGATGGGTATGATTTTTCCAAAGTCCTTTCCTGTTGGATTCAATATTCTAAGAAAGAATGAATTCAAGACAAATAAATGACTACCAAGTACAAAGCAAAAATACCTGGAAGGAATCTTGAGTAATCTCTTCCTAAGTGAAAGGAGGTTAGGAGGAAACTTTTGGATTTTATCTTACAGGATGTTGCAATTCAAGGACTATTAAATTGTGTATAATGTACAATCCCTTTTGTGCCAGACAAAGAAGTTTCCTGATTGTACTCTTGAGATATTATAAAGCATTTCTAAGGTTGCTGTTGAACTAGAGAATTGTGAATTGGTAGGTTTTCAAATAAGTTACTCCAGACCTTAGTCTGGTCTAAAGCTTTCTGTTTTTACAATTAACTCCTCATGTTTCTTTGTTGAGTGTGTGTGTGTGTGTGTGTGTGTGTGTGTGTGTGTGTGTGTGTAAAAGCTAAAGATAGACCAGGAAGCATCTGGGGCCTTTTGGCTGTAGAGGGGAATCCAGATTTCTGAGGGCTAGCTATCCACTAAACTGGATACACAATGCTATCTATATCTGTCCAAAATGCCCTTAACTTATTGTACTTTGTGTTAATACTATGAGTTTTTCATTTATGAGTGAAGCAGGTGGGTCTGTCTGAAGATAAACAGTATAGGGCATGAATACTTCCATGTTGTTTGGTTGACCTTCTGAGGGATTACGAAGAAAAGTGGGCAAGTCAAGCTTTGGGCTGCTCTGAAAGCCATGCTTTCTTCTTGATGTCAGCTCTCTCTTGGTCTGCATTTCCAAACAAAGGATTATGATTAAGAAACAGTCATCAAGGGGTGCCTGGGGGGCTCAGTTGGTTGAGCATCTGGCTCTTGATTTCCTCTCAGGTAATGATCTCACAGTTTGTGGGTTAGAGGCTCTCATCAAACTCTGCACTGACAGAGCAGGGCCTGCTTGGGATTCGCTGTCTCCCTTTCTGCCCCTCTCTCATGCGCGTGTGCTTTCTCAAAAATAAACATTTAAAGAAAAAAGAAAGAAAAAATCAAGAGCAGAAGGAAAAGATTGCTAGCAATCAGTATGACCCAAAGCTGAGTACTGGTCAGGTAATGCGAGATTCTACTATGTACACAACTTGCAAAGTGCCACATCAGTGCAACCTCCTTTTAATTAAGACAATTTTGGAAGGGCATTTCTCTGGTCTCCACAGCAAGATCCTTTCTCCTGTAACTAAAGTAGGAAGGTTACATTTCAAGTTTTTTTCCTAAATATCCTTCATTTGGGGGAAATAATGATGAAAACATCAATAATATTTATGGAGTACTCACTATAGGTTGCCATTTAATTTAACCCTATTATTAGTCCCGCTTTGAAGAGAGTAAAGCAGAGAGAGGTTCACTTACTTGCCGAGGCTCACGCAACTGGTAAGTATCAGAGCCTGGATTTGAAGCAGGCAGGAAGACTCTAGAGCCCAGGATCTCACCTAATCAAGAAAATTTTCTGTATCATAACTTAGTGTTATAAAACATTTTTCCTGCTACTTTTTAAAATATCACGTATTCAAAATAGATTTATGTAAACAACACACACAGCAAAACTGTAATGCTATCTTTATTTTCTCAAAAAAAAAAATTGTTTTACATGCCCATTTTGTACCAGGGAAAAGATTTTTATGTTCCTTCAAAATGAGGGATTTTGCTGGGGAACTGTTAAAATTACTTTGATGATTCCAGTCGTGCATCGCATAGAGATTTATGACAAGTATGTAATCTGTTTGTCACCCAACTTGGATGATTTCCAAATGTTTCCTTTTAGTAGTTCTTGATTTTGTTTAGATTTTTTTTCAATGGCCAAATAGTCAAACAACATTGTCTGAACCACGTTTGCTCCCATCAGGGAAAACCAACGTGTTGAAAGATAGCTTTGGTTATTTAAAATCCTACTACATTCACTTGCAACTTTGAAAAGCATTCATGCTTTAGTGGACTGGATTTTTAAAAGGAGAAGAAGAAAAAAATAAAACCAAGTTTGAGGCTCAAGTCCCTCCTTTGCTATTTGCTGCATTTTTTCTACTCTTTGCGGGCAAAAAGCACGCTGAACAGATCAAATCAAACTGTCCGAAAAAGGCTGTCTGCATCCCTCATGTCTAAAAGAGAAGGATTTCGTTCCCTCTCCTTCACACATCAAAGAAGGCACTCGGGGAGGAAATAAACCATAATTAAGCATGAGCGACCAAGCAGACAGACCCCTTCCTCTGCCTTCCCCATCCCCGCCCCCCATGCCCTGGCAACAGTCCTGGGCGCGAGCTAGGGCCGGCCACCGCAGCAGCTGCATGGAGCGCGCGTCCACGCCTGCGCCCGCCGCCAAAATCTGGGCGGCGGCGGGGCCGTCCGGGGGCGCGCTCGTTCGGGAGCGCGCTCATGCAGCGGTTTTCTTCTCCCACAATCCAGAGGCTGCGGCGCGGGAGGGGCGGAGAGTCGGCGGAAGGATATGGGCGCGGAGGGAGAAGCGCGCTCCCTTTGACGGAGGGTTCACGGCACTAGTTGGGCGGCGTGGAGCGGGGTGTGATGCGGCACTGCGGTTCTGAGGCCGTTACTCCGGCTCCTCCAGAGAGGGCGGTGGAGGAGGCTGGAGCGCGGTGGTGACTTTGTGCCAGGGCTTCCCAGAGGCGCGCTGAAAAGGCTACGGGGCTGAGGAAACTGGGGGGTTAGGGACACACATTCAAGCCCCCACCCCCCGGGAGGGGAAGGGGGCTGGAAGCGAGGCTTGAGGTCGGCGGAGGGATGGTGTCTGTTCGGGGGGAAGGGGCGAGCCCTGCCTGTCGTTGGTGAGGGGCTGCGGGCAGGCGAGGCTCCGCGGGTCGTAGCGGCTCCATGCCCACTGGTGGGTGGAACGTGTTGAGCGGGACGCGGAGGTCGAGCCTGGTGGCCGCTCGGAACCCTCAACATACTATCTAACGTGGTATTTCATTTAGCCCACGTTGGGATTAATTCATTGCGGGCAGCTTCGCTGGTCTGGCTCCACCAGGAGCTGGGCAACCTTGACGGGCTTTTTGTCTTGCTGCTCCAGCCCCCTTTCCCTTCCTCCTCCTCCAGATGCCTTTTCTCTGCCCCTCCTCGCCCGGTACAGACATTTCCAGCGCAAGCTGCCGCTCGTGGCTGCTGTCGAAGCCGCTTCTCGGGATTTCGGCTTCTTCCCCTCTGGGGTGTTTTTTGAGGAGGGAGAGTTTTTCTCCCCTCCACGATGGGATTTTCTTCCTGTGCCAAAATGGACTTTCACTGATTTCTACTTACTTCTTCAACGTTTAGTGATCAATTCCCTAGGCGTATTTTTGTGGTAGTTCCCTTTTTCAAATACATTATCTGTAAAATGGAGAACGAAATTTTTACTCCCCTCCTGGAGCAGTTTATGACCAGCCCCTTGGTCACTTGGGTAAGTAGGGTGTTATTTATTGTATCTTTTGCTGCATTATTTGTGGCTGCAGAGATGGAGATGGGCGTTCGTGTCCTGACGATCATTCCGTTCTAGGTTAAAACGTTTGGACCTCTGGCTGCAGGAAATGGGACCAACCTGGATGAATATGTGGCTTTGGTTGATGGGGTATTCTTGAACCAGGTCATGCTCCAAATGTAAGTGTTCTTTTCTTTACTAGGGTAACTTGTTTTTGAAAAAGGGCGTACTGTAAACTTAGAGATTTTATGTTTTAAGCTCCTAATTGCTTTGGCCAGAAAAATTCAGGTGGTTTAAGAATTGGACCTTGAAAGGAGTGATAATCTTACCTGCCCAGCCCATTTATCACAGTCTAGTAATTACGCCTATTAAAATTGTGAAACTTTAATTTTTCATTCTGCAAACCGTATATTGTCACTTACTGTCTTTAAGTGTTGAAATCCAAATCACGTTGTGTCCTCTAATTGGTAAATAGAGAAAAGAGAATATGGGAATAGTTTCCTAAGGGGGAATAAAGCCTTTACTGTGAAGTTATGTGTATTAGATGCAGAAATGTCTTATTAACCCTTGTATCTAAAAATAAGTGGCTGAGATTTTGAAACTGGTGAAGTAATAACAGATTTCAAAAAAAAGAATTTCAAATAACAGTTCTGATTGGTGAGAACTGTTGCTGTGGCAAGTAATTTAAATGGGTACAGTAACTCAAGTCTGATTAGATTATTATGTGAATTGTTAGATTAATATTGGGGGGATCATTTTAAAGTATTTTTAAAGCTAGTTTTGAAATGCGGGTAACTGACATCTTGATGACAACTAGATAATGATTTTAGTAGGCAAATCTTTGTCTTTTATGTTTATGATACTTGGGTTTGTATTAAGTAGAGAAGTACTTTTAAGATGGGAGTTGAATATCCAGATCATATTGGTAGATCAGTGAAATAAAAACCATTTTTATCATTATAGGTATTGTAGCATTCAAGCTAAGTACATCAGTGTAAGCTTTCTAAGTACATCAGCATAGGTTATCAAACTCTGAATGTTATTGTTGTGTTCAAAATAATGTGTATTTAGCCTAATCTCTCTTGAATAGAATCTGATTACAAGCGTAGTTTGGAACCTTCAATTTCAAAGCATTCTTAACCTTTTATGTATGTGGGAGTTTAGTGCATTATTAATAAATAATTGTTACTAAGGAATAAGTCCACTGTGAATAATCACATGAAGTGTCATTTCTGTATTTTGTAGGAAATTATGTTTCTTTTTAGCTTTTTTAAATAAAAGAAGAGGTAGAAGTCAAAACCATAAATGTTCCAGTGTAACTTCTCAGTCTGTGTGCCCAGAGATATTGGTAGTCTGTGTGCTCAAAGAGATTTGTGTGTTGTTTTTCATGTATGTATTGATCCTACAGAGAAGCATTGTACTACTATGTGCTTCCATAGGTGTTTTATTTGTATAGGCACTAAATGTGTGTATATTTTTTTTCTTAAGAAAGGAAAAAGGAATGTAGACAATTATTTCCATGGACAGTAAATATATTTTTGGCAGCTCTCCCAGTGGAACTATTTTTTTATCTTTGAAATATCCCACTATTTCATAAGCAAAAGGGTAGAATAATTAAATTGACTTCTATTTTAGGGAACACACATGACAGGAAGGGTAGCCATTACAGTAGATACTCAGAACTTGTTCCCTCTCTTGTTTTTAGATGGAGAATTTTGAATTTGTATGCTGAACCCTAAAAAAAATAGGTGTATTTACAAAATAGGAAAATACTTCAGTTTTCCAGTTTTTTTAAATTTACTTTTTTAATTATTTTTAAAGTAGGTTTCATGCCCAACGTGGAGCTTAAACTCATGACCCTGAGATTAAGAGTTGCATCCTCTACTGAGTGAGCCAGCCAGACACCTTTAGTTTTCCACTTCAGTGTTTTTTATTTGAATGATTCTTTTTCCAAAAAATATTTAGATTTTTTTGAGCCCTGAATAGTTAGCCAAGGTACTAAAAACAGACACTTGTTTCCACTTTGAGTGGAATTGAGTGCAACTTTATCTTTAAAAATATATATGTATATTTTGAAAGTAATGGTGTTTCAAAATAGTGGTTGCCAGGTTGTTTTGGGGGGGGGGGAGAGGACTAGCTCCATTCCAAACCTCAAATCTACTTCTGTTTTCAGTTCCACCTCTCAGTTTCTTTAAAAGTTTTTTCAGTGTCCTAATTCTGTTCTGAATGACCTATATAAATTAAAGGGAAAGAAAATTAGAAAAAAAGGAAGAAGTAGTCTTTAGCTTTTTAAAAAATAATTTGCTTAAATAAGATAAATGTATTTTAATTAATTATTTACCTAATAGGGGAACAAAATATGCATTGTTTTTAAAGCTGTATTTTGCTAACTTTAAAATCATTAAGATTTCTGTTAAGTACTTTATTCGAGTTAATGTTTGATTTAATCTACTCTATTAAATTGTCAGTTGAACTGTACCCAGTAAGTTAACCTAAAAGGTAGCCTTAGTCTAAGTCATCTCTAGATTAAATTTGTTTACAGAATTTGTGAGTGAGAACCCTTTCTAAAATGAAACTATTTTTCTTCATGTGTGTTTTGCTTGGAGTTTGTTGAGCTTCTTGGATCTGTGGGTGTGTGGTTCTTAACAAATTCAGAAAATTTTTGGCTGTTTTTTATTTTTAGAAATAAATATTTATATTAGAATATATAAGTGTGTGTGTGTGTATATATATTCTTGCCCCCACTTCCCCTTTTGGAAGTCCCAGTTACATGTAAATCAGGCTATTTGATGTTCACTGATGTTGTATTCATGTTTTTTCAGTCTTCTGTGTTTCATTTTGGATAATTTTGCTACGTCTTCAACTTCATTAATCTTTTCTTCTGTAATGTTTAATTTGCTGTTAATTCCATCCAGCTTCTTTTTCATTTCAGACATTATGATTCTATTCTAGAAATAGAGTTCTTTTTGTATTTCACATGTGTATAGCTTTCATGCTTTGTCTTTTCTCTAGCCACTTGAATATATAGAGTACAGTTATAACTGGATTAATATTTATTTCTACAAATTCTATCTGTATCATTTCTGGATTGGTTTTGATCGATTTTTCTCCTCATAAAGGATTGCGTTTCTTTGCTTTTGCATGCCTGGTAATTTTTGATTGGATGATAGACATTTGGAATTTTACCTTGTGGGGTGCTGGATATTTTTGTTTTTCATTACATATTCTTGAACTTTCTTCTGGGATACATTAAATTACTTGGAAACAGTTTGATCTCTCAGGTCCTGCTTTTAAGTTGTATCAGGCTGTACTACTTTGTTACTCTATTGGCAAAACCCTTCTGAGTACTCTCCGTAGGAACAGGAGCTATTTCTGGACTTGTGTGAGCTCTGGGTGGTATTCCCTCTTATCCGTACCCACCCTCCCGACCCCCCACTGTTCTTGGGTAGTTTCCTCACATGTATATGCTAATAAGTACTCAGCTGAAGACTTGAGGGATACCTTCTGCAGATCTCTGGGTTTTTCTGTGAACTTTTCTACTCTTATGTACTCTACCTTGTATATGACAGTCACCTTGTTGTCTCTAGATTAAGTTCTGTCTCCTCAATTCAGGGAGGTAATTGCTCTGTCGGGGTTCCCCATCCCTGTTCTATGGCCTAGGAACCCTTTCAAGGTAATAAGTTGGGGCAATGGTAGGACTCATCTTGTATGTTTCCCATCTATCAGGGATCTATTGTCCTTTGCTTTTTCATGTCCATTGCCTTGAAAAACACAATATATTTTGTCCTTCTTTTTCTAGTTTTTTCAAGCAGGAGAGTAATTTGGTTCCTGACATTCTCTCTTGGCCAAAGTGGAAATCTGTTTATATACTTATAATTACACTTTTGGCCTGGCAGTCTTGCTATTCCTGCTTTCAGTTTGACATAGAATTTTGTTATAGAAAGCTTATGGTATATGTATTTTTTTTCATCTACAGTCTTTATTAAAAGTGAGAATATTAATTAGTGACTTTGGATTTGCCATTTTGGACTTTGTTTACATTTTCTTCATGCCTGTTTACCAACTCTGCCTTATAATTTTGGAGTCTGTTCACTGACTTGGGATTCGCTGCATTCAGAGATAAATCCTGGATTTCACTGAGTAGTTCCTTGAATCAAAGAATCTCTGTAAGAGCTTGTGACATGGCATCAGTCTTGTTTAACTAATGGGGAAGGGGAAGCTCTTTAGAGATTAGGAATGATGGGCCAGCTCTTCTGTATGCTGCAGGGCATTTTTGTATTTCAGCCAAATGAAATCTTTATTTCTCACTTCTGGTTACCACACATAGGGTTTGGTGACACTAGAAATAATCATTTTCTTGTTTGAGATGTCATGCAGTTCCATAACCCATTTTGCATATTACTTGCTATGAAATTTTAAGGAATTTATGACATGGTTGTGAATTTCATAATTCTAAAGTTTAAAAGTATGCTATTTATATTACCTAAGCAGTTGAATATATGTATAAGGGTTTTAAGTATGGAGAAAATTATTAATGGTGTCAGAAAAATGATTCAGCCCCATTAGATAATTATAGAGATCTATACTTGAAATACCTGACAGTTACTATATACTTGTTCTGGCTTTTCTTCTTTTAGAATCTTGAACTTGAAGGAACTTTAGGAGCCCTCTACTATGAAAATCATTTTTAATTTAAAAAATTAAATGACACATGGTCATGCAGATTCTCCTTAAGTATTTCCTGAGAAGCACCTTCATAAACTATACCTAGCAGAAGTCATTTATCTAATAGAGGAAGTTGACTGAGAAGTGTTTCTTAGTTCTTTGAGTGTTTAAGATTCGAAAGAATGGAGAGGTAGATTGGGGACGATGAAATAGATAAAGGGTATCAAGAAAGAGTACACTTACATTGATGAGCACTGAATAATGTATAGGGTTGTTGAATCATTATACTGTATACCAGAAACTAGTAAGTATGTTAATTATACTTCAATTAAAAGAAAAGAAAAATAAGATTCAAAAGTAGGTTGTGCTAACTTTATAATGACCCTAAAGTGACTTATAAAATACATGAGTTTCAGGGCACCTAGGTGACTCGGTTAAGTCTCCGACTTTGGCTCAGGTCATGATCTTGCAGTTCGTGGGTTCGAGCCCCACGTCAGGCTGTGTGCTGACAGCT